TATATTTAATATTAAATATATTTTTTAACATTTAAATTTAACATTTAGCAAAACTGAGATAAATGATAAAAGAACAGTGAGATAAATAATGAAAAAGTGACATTTTTTAATATGGCCGCTCCATATTTAGGCGTCCCGGTTCTGAAGTTCTGCTGGTTTCCTTCAGCCCCTCGTCAGACAGGAACAGGACGGCTCAGAACCGGTTCTGGTGTCAGTCCGGTTTACGGTGAGCGCTGTGTGAATCAAACGTGAGCGTCTCTGCAGCCTTCCTCTGAGGCTGGGGGATAATGAGTCCTCCAGGGACGGCAGCTAAAGGACACTCAGCCTCTCTGAGACGTTAAACTGCAGCCGCCGCCGCCGGAGGCCTAATTGGAGCGAGCAGGCCCGGCAGCTGGCGGGCCGCCGCCTGCGTTCTGTGGGCATGTGAACACTCTGGTATGCTAATGTTGGATCTGTTTGAGCGACAGGAGCGAGGATGAGGAGTGAAGGCAGCGTGGAGGCGGCTCTTCGGCTCCACCTCACACCCTCATCACGTCAGGCTGAAGAAAGGAAACCCAGAGTTAAAATTAGACCGAAACTTTGTTTGTCTTCACAGCTTTTTGTTTCACAGTTTGTCTGAGCAAAGAAAAGCTCCACGATCAACTGATGTTCCAGGTTCTGAACAGAACCAGAACCAGGACCAGGACGGTCCAGGATCAGTTTTTTTCACTCAGTTTTAGGTTTTTTTTACAAGAACGTTTAAAAAGGTTCTTAAACCCAGAGTTCTGTTGAGAACTTGACCAAAAAAAAAAAAGGATTTTAGTTCCAACAAAAAGATTTATGATCAGATTTACTTTGAAAAGAGGAATTATTTCAGCTGATGTTTAACATCAGTTAGAAAATGAATCTGTGAAACAACAAAAGACTCGTGTCCCACTTTCATCCTCATCTCGGGGGGTCAGGGGGGTCTGTGGTTTAATCATAATTCTCTTGACCTCTGTTGACCCCGGTGCGGTTCTGACAACGAGGGCCGCGCTGCAGAACAGAAGGCGCCGCTGGCTCCAGGACGGCCTTTTCATCTGAAACAATCAGCCGGCTGTGAATAGGAGGGCAGATTCTCCAGAACGCCGCAGACGAAACAGCAGCGTGGTTTCACTCTGATTAAAATCTGTTCCCCCACAGGCTGCAGCTCTGAATCCATCATTAACAAAACATGATTGTTGGCAAATTTCAATTAATATGTTAATGTGAGCAGAGCTTCCATTCAGAGCTTCACGTTTAACAGGAGAACCTCTGGAACCTTCTGAGGACCAGACAGGTCCGCTTTTATTTCAGCTTCAGCCAATAAAAAGTTTATAAAGAAGCTCTGTTCTCATCACTGCTTCAACACAGAAAACAGCCGAGCTGTTAGTCTGACAGCTGTGTGGGTTAGCCATCAGCTGACAGCTAACAGCTAACATCAGCTAACATGGTCTGGTTGTTGAAGCAGTCAGCTCCGCGGCCTCCAGCTGTCAGAGACTTCACTTCCCAGCATGCATCACTCTCAGGTCAGCGCTCCTCACAGGAAGGAAGTGACAGGCGAGAGGCGCCGTCTCCTCTGATCACAGAGGAGTGAGACCTGAGAGGAGACAGCTCTGCTCCTCGCCAACTTCCTGTTTCCTCTGATGCTGAGCTTCAGAGTGAACGAGGATCCAGAGGTGATCCAGATGTTTAACAGCTGCAGCTGTCAGCCGAGACATCAAACACCTACTGCCTTTAAACACCTGACATTTACCAGCAGTGTGCTTTATACAGTGTTAGCAAAATATCTTAACTATAGACCCATCCATCCATCATCCATCCATCATCCATCCATCCATCATCCATCCATCCATCATCCATCCATCCATCCATCATCCATCCAGCCATCCATCATCCATCCATCCATCATTCATCCATCCATTCATCCATCATCCATCCAGCCATCCATCATCCATCCATCCATCATTCATCCATCCATTCATCCATCATCCATCCAGCCATCATCCATCCATCATCCATCCATCCATCCATCC